CTGTGCTGTGTTCGGTAAGACTTTGAAGATTTTCAGCAGAACTAGTGGTGCATCTCCAAATCTTCTGATTGAAACTGTTGCGAACGAACATCTTGACTCATATGAACATGTAGGAGGAGTTATTTTATCAGATAATCAGCACCCTCTTCACTCAGAGCTCTCTAACTGTCAGTTCTCGGGCAGAACCGGTAGCAAGTACATGAGAATTTATGCACGTGCTACCGAACATAAAAACCCTGTCATACTTTATTCAGCTCGTGTACTGTCAGAGAGAGCGAATGTTAGAAGTGAACTGACTAAACAACTTTAGTTTCCTAAAGCAAACTAACTAAAGATTACACAGCTTGGTGTTACTTGTGTGTTATGAATCTAATCTCTAGTATAACTGTTTGGCTAAGTTAACTCTAAATTTTTAAGAAGGTTCTAGGTGAAGTAAATATTCTTAAATTTGATATATAAAATTTCTATGTACTTCATTTTATTATGTACACATATACATTGTTTCTGTCCAGTTAATGTCATGTGACATGCTGAAAATTCTGTACAGATGTTCTCATTGTTTTATCCATGTCAAACTGCAGTCTATTTGATGGCTAGAAGTGCAATACAAAACGGGCGTGTAATTTTGTTTGGGAATCGTCAGCTGGATGTACCTGCACCCCAGCAAGTCGTGTTGTCCTGACAGACTCAAACCCAGTACCCATCGCTCCAAACACGAAGGGGTTGTCCACCACTGCGAACATGACAGCCACCGAGTGTGCAGCGGTTATCAGTTGTTGTTTATCGATACTTTTACTTTTCCGTTGGTATAGTGGTTTGAATTAGTCGATCTCTGTTAGCAGATGGGCTCCTATGAGGATGCCTCGATGCTGTCTGGATATTCATTGTATTGTGGCCTGTTAGATGGCTAGCAGTGGAGTCCCGGACGCATATTTCGATTACAATATAAAAAATATCCATGCAGTATCGAAGCACCCATATTGGAACCCACCTACTAACAGAAGTCGAGCAATTCGACCCAGAATAGCAACGGCAAATTACCAGTAACAATAGTCAGCGTAATTCAAGTTGTTTCAACGGCTTGTCTTACATCATAATTAGGCGACCTGTGTTGTAGTCAGTCACATTTTTTAGCGTCTCTAAATTCGGTGGTGGTTTCCGAAAGCTGACTAACATCAGGAATATTTCGTTTGCCATCGAGTTGAAAGTAAACATCTGTCACCTAAACTACATAAGGGGCACTCCATTATATGCAACCCCTAGTCGGTACCAGTGGATTTGCCCAAAAGGATTAAATACAATATACTTTCGACAGTAAAATACACACCAATAAAACATCTAATAACTGCAGTAATAAAATAGATTGTCCTGTTTCATTATGTATCCTCTATCCAGCATATCTATGTTCCCGGAGAGTTATGGTTCTGAAAAAGGCAGGTAATCTAGTGGACTTCATCCTTCAGTGTTTTAACTACTGACTGACCCTTTATTATTATGCACTTTGCCTTCGCCATGTAAAGGGCTACTAAAAAGAGAGGCGTGAAAATGATTTCACCCTCATTAGTTGAACGAGCCTTCAGTGGATTAGAATCAGTGCTGGACCCTTTGCTTGTGTTTTTCACTAGCAGTTACAGTTTTAAATTTCCCAAGCATATTTTGAACGAATGTATTGTACCATGCGTGCTTAGTCACAGATAGTGAAACAAACCAGGTTTAGGTACAGAAATGAGCACTCACCTTATAGTGTGCAATAAAAATTTTTCGTGAAATAGTTCAAGTTTGTCAGTTCTGGTTATTAACAGACGACTACCTACAATCTACTTCCTTGCTTTGATAAATTCTGCTCTTGAAGCCTGCTGTCATGTTTTGTAAATGTTATAACTTCAGTGTCAACTATTGTTCACTACAGGCATACGCCTCTACCCACCTAAGCAAAAGTTCGCGATCATCATCTGGGTCATTCCCAAAGTCTTTTGGCTGACAAAATATTACCAAATATTGAAGGAGGATCCCATGTTCAGTTGTCAGTTAATTTACATAAACTCGGTATCTACTTGATGGAAACAACTATGATCACATTGATTGGAAGTCGTTGCAAAATTTTCTGCTGTTTTAGTACGAAACGCATTCATTGTTGAGGGATGAGATACTCACTTCTTCATTAGGAATGTAAATACCAAGATGGGAAGATATTGCATACTTCTAGGAGGCTAGATAGTAGGGCAATCAATTGTTAGATGACGGTAAATACATGCAGGATTTGCATCGTGGATGCAAAGTATAAACTTTAGAATTTATAGTGGAATTTTAGTTTCCTTAATTTATGCTAATTGTAGTTGACTTTAAGCATTAATCATATTGATATGACCTGGTTTATATATTGACTCAGATAAGCAGTTTTAAATAATTGGATGCTTTTAGTTCTACTTCCTCTCTGTGAAAACACTTGGAAATACCGGTTCATTGGAGGCTGGGAACATAATCTTGTTGACTTGTACCACCGTTGAGATTAAGGATCTTCGTACTCCCATTACTTGACTGAACATGCATCTTACTGCACTCGCTGGCGTTCTGACAGTGAGACATTCAGATTGGATTATGTTCTTACCAACTGCATCATTAGTGCATCTAACTGAACCATCCACAGCCCCCTAACACAAAATGGTTACACGCTCGTTTCCTTTAACAGCTCTGAATCTAGGTCATTCACTCCTGAACAACCAGGAACTACGGTTTCTGACTGTGAAAAGACCAAACGAGATCCAGGAGGTTCTGCCGAATCTAATTTAGGTAACTCACTAGATCTAGGTTCCCGATAGGTTTGATGAATACTCAGGTTGGTGGATGGGCAGTAGTATCACGCTGGTGCTCCCTTCCTATGGGAAGGGAGTTAGAAGAGTATGACCTTGATAAGAACATTTCTTTCTGCCCTGCGGCTTTCCGGTGCTAGTAGTATGAGTTTTTCTTATACAGAGTCAGAACACCCAAATCTCAAGCCAACAATCCTCAAAATACTGTATGACAGGCCTCAAGTAGATGTCTCGTAGGGTCTGCGGCAACACAAATCTTCGCTCTCAAGTACCCAGCAGGAAAAAACTTCCACTGTGTAGGGAGCCGGGAAGTATCAACCGTCCGCATGCTTCCAATAGTATACGGTGGATTTCAACAAATACATTCGAACTGATCGGTGAGAGAAGACTCGTCTAGCTAACTCTGACCACAATGAGGAAGTGGAAGCAGCTCAAACAAAAACTGAGCAAGAGTCTTCACAACGATCATGAGCAGTGGTGGGTGGTGAGAGAGGAGAAAGCATCATTATTAGGTGAAACCCGGCGATTTTTTATGCTTATTGAAGATGATTGTGGGAGTAAATATGACTATCTACGCGGCAAAGATATCCTCCATTGTTACATGCCAAAGCGTCAAAGTGAAGCTCTATAAGGCCTAGTTAAGTGATGCTGGGTTCCTGTTACTGGCTGGTGAAAACCAGGGATGTTTTGTGTGCAAAGGCTACGCGTCAAGTCTAGTTGAATACGAAGGTTAGACTCCGTGGCCCCAGTGGATATCAACCAATACGCCATTAGATTGACTCAGCGAAATCTGGTCGACGAGATCTGTATACATAAGATCAGTGGGGCTGGTCTTCAAAGCACAGATGGTTTTGTAAGCTGTCAGGATTCCACCCAGTGCACTGGGAAGAGTGTAACCGAAAGGCAAGGTGAGTCCAGCTTTTTGATTGCGGTAGTCATTGTTGTTGAAACAGTTCCAGGGACGGTTGTAATTTCACTCGGCCATATTCGGTCCGGAGTGCCGATGTCGTTAGCCCATCCTTGGCTGGATTTCAGTAGACTGAAAAGAAGCGATCGCTGTGGATTTTTTGACATTATGGGTTTTAAACACAGGTGTCATCTCAGCATTGCTCGTGTATAGTTGGGTCAACGTAAGAGCAATGTCAAGGTTAGGCGAACGGCACTGGTCTATGAGGTTGCGAACCTCCATCTACTAAAGTGGTCCGACCATGCTGCACATACCGAACTACCGTCTACTTCGATGTGCAATCCTAGGAGAAGTTGGATTAGGGTGAAGTAAGGCTCAGAGTGGCCAGAGCAAAGCATGAAGTCTTTGACTGTTTGGTCTGAGTCATGTATGGAGGTGTAGACTACCTGACTAGGGTACTCGAAACGATAGGAATCAACAGTTAAGTATCCTTGAAGACTTGGATCAAAATCGTTCACAAAGGCGCAGATGTATTTATTGTTTGGTTTTTTCTAAAGCTTGAACATACCCACTAATCTTTATTTTCAAATTTTTTCTCCTCTTATACACCTATCGACTTTGACATCAGCTTTCTTAAATCCACTTGTTGTTTTTCATGCTACTGCGAAGTGTGGCAACTTGAACCGATGAACTTGTGTGTGAGGTTCTAGTTTGATCTTGTCTATTTGTGTCTGATACAAAGAACGTATTGGAGAACACAACAAGGCTACTGAGACCGTCTGGAGTTGGTGTGGCTCATAGGCCAAAAAATTCTCTTTAGACCATATGATGGGGATCAAAGGACGCAATAACCAAAAATTAACTGTAACGATCGCGACCAGTACTACTCTGGAAAAAGTGGTTGTCCTCTTCATCTACGTATACATGAATATCAGCTGGCTAGCAAGCGTCATGATATTTCACCTCTTATTGCAACTATGGATAAAAATCCAACTTTGAAAATGTAGAGATATCGGACAGAGGAAGCAATGTATGCCAGAGAATTTGTAGAAGCTTGGAAATGAAAATTAATCAGCAGTCAATAGGTGTATAGACGAAGACCCAACCAACTAACCAACAAGAAAAATGATATGAAAACTGCAAGGTCAGAGTCCAGGTACAGAAGAAAATAACAGGAAATACTATGTACTAAATGATCCAGAAATCAAAGTAAACCACTGACCAAATGCCACTTTGTCAAGACAGTGGTAATCAGAAGATGTAACACCAAAAAAATGCCAGAAGACTATCAAATATTTATATATTACAAGACATTTAGCATAAAGAAATACAATTATCACAAACTAGAAATATTTAAGCCTTTCTTACCAGATATTACACTGATAAGCGTGGCTAAATCATCTGAATTGGATGACATTTTATTTTGACGATCAGAGAAATTAGCTTCAAGATCTTGTTTCAGTAAGTTGATTTCTTTTAAGCTACAGTCAATTGCACGATTTGTCAAATTGATTAGTTTGTTCACTTGTTCAGACGGTATACCAGCAGCTCGTGTTGCTTGGGCTGAGCATTCACTTTCAACCTATAAAATTTCACAGTATGACGTAGGGTGAATTAATCAATATGGAGTTCATTGAAGAAAAAGAAAGATGATTTACAAAAAAATTCCACTTCCCTCGTCAAAAATAGGTAGGAGTTAAGCAGTCATCGAAAAACAGGAGACGCAATTCGACTTCACGTTACCTACAAGATTCGTTGAGCAATGGATATAATCTAAGCAAATGTGAAAATTTGAAAATTCAACATTAGCATGGCTAAATAAATTCACAGACTACCAATTAAACGAAATCAGTACATTTCCGCAAAGCATAAATACATAAAGATGATACTTATTTACCAACAATTGTCGACTGCTGTCCATTGCATGTACAAATGTGGACGACACAAAATCGTTGAGTCTCCCCAATAATAAATACCTTCAACACGAAAGGAGCTGGTACCTGATTGTTTAGTACTGAGTGTTTGTCTAGCTATTCTGATTTACATAATCTGGTAATAATACTTAGTTATTCGGAAATACTGTCATTCTTCCGAGAGCTCACGGGGTTTAATAATATGAAAGCAATCTTTACAATTAAAGTTTCAAGTAGTCTGACAGTTATAAGTCGAGAAACAATACATTTAGCTCTTGAGATTACTGACTGAAGTGATAATGTAGGTGGTACTAGTGAAGTCAAGCCAATCAGTCAACAATGAACCTGGTATAGCTGTACAACGACCCAAGTTGTCACATCTAAATATTAGCGCATAAAGGTAAACGGCACTAAAAAGAAAGAGAGAAAAAATGTCATCGAAAATCGTATGAAGTTGTAAAACAAAAAAAAGGTGTCAGAGGAAATAACGAAATATGATGTGACGAATTACATACAGATAATACATTGATGTATGTATATGCACCAGTGAGATCGATTCTGAGCCAAATCATATACAATCACAAACCAACGACTTCAGTCGTCACATGAAAGTCAATCTGTAGGTCTAAATTCTTCTAAACTTCTAAGATCAACAATCAAAGACTTCAAGACCTGATGCCACGTTTTAGTCTGCTAGCCTTAAGCTCTTATCCAGCTTACACATACTCAGATTCTAAAAACAAACTTATGTTTTTCGGATCTCTAAGATATGTTTCCTAAAGAAATTGAACAGTACTTCCTAGGGCGTTGAGAAAAAAATTATCTTTCTATAATCTTAGAATTTACACTTTTATTCAGTAGAATCAGTCACATCAAATCCATTTTTTTTTGGGGGGGGGGGAGGAAGGAGTGGAAACTATGAGCTTACTCTGACGGGTTAATACCATCGAAGGTTGTTTAAAACACCGAAATAATAATCTGGAATTCACTACAATAATTCAACCTGAGAGTGACTTTCTCCAGTAATCACAACGTTTATTTTTCATCCCAATTCTTGATATTATTAATCTCAGTAAAGAAAACTATGCGGTATATACCACCTAGAATAAATAAATTTTCAAATCTCTCTATTTAACATAATCACTAATAACGTTAAAGTGTTACAGAGAATTATTGATATGACTAGATATTGCTGTTAACCAACGAATTATGTTCTCTTGGAGTGATGTATCAACTATAACATCAAACAATGAGTTTCATAGTTGATCGGTAGAACTGTATCACAAAAATCGAAGAGATTTACATATTCTCTGACAGTAACTATTCTAAAGGCATTCATAACTTGAAACAGCAAGTTGCATATCGCTAAGGTATGTGGATGGAATGATAGTAGTTCATATCCAGAGACAATAATGTCGAATATGATGGACTTAACTATCCTTTATCGCTTTATTTTTCTGAAGTCAGAAAAACCTCATCGACCAACGATGCGATTGGTGGGAGAAGACCTAGTAGATTAGTTGTTGTCAATCAAATTATTTCTCAGTTTAGTTCTTGACTTTTTGTTAGCTGCATTTGTTGGAAATGCAGCAAATTAAATCGAAATCTCAGCAGTGAGATGGATGTAAGCTATCCCCACAGAGATTAAGTGTTGTAACGAGCTGAATCCTGAATTCGTAATGTGTAAGTAATGACGAAATCCGTCTAGACCTCACAACTCCAAAGACACACAATTTTATGATCCAGTTGAAGCATATACTACTGATGAGTAACACTCTTGGTACTATTGTAACGGACTCGAAATCTTACTCATTCACCTTTCAGTTCCGATTTCTAGTGACTTTTCTAATCCTACTACGTAATACCTTGTTGGTCTACTATTTTCATTAGTTTCACGCTCCTTTCTGAGTTATATACATCCTATGGACTGTTCTATATATTGCGTAAGGCACTTAATCATTCATACCTCAACTGTTTTCAAAAGTATCCTTATCGTTATCACCACTGCTATCATTATTATCAATTATTTTTATTGTTTAATGTTCAAAAATTCATCTTTGCATAATAGTGGTTTTCTCAGATGACTTTAAAGGCCACCCTAACAACCGCTAAGATGACCAATCAGGTTGCGGTATATTGGCTGGGAAGACAATTATCATGGTTACTTCGTCAGTTGCTAGGGTGGCTTTTAGTCACTCATTTTTCCTCAACCCTGATGACTGACAGCCCGATTATACTTTTCATAGTCAAGCTAAATTTCCCCACCCTATTTTTGTTCAGCTATATTTGCACAACTGGTAAAAGCCTCTCTGACCGATTTGCTAGTTCACCCCCTGCATTACACATTGCTCTTTGTCCCATATCATGATGCAATTGGATGACCGTTAAGGTGACCTTCTGTACCAAAACTTGAATATTAACCTGGAAACTTAATGTCAGATTATTACTCTTGAAAAGGATCTTCCTAGCATGATCAAAACATTGAGGAATGGTAAAACATATCTGTTTATTTTGTTATTTGTTCTAATATACTACCCCCCCACCCCCAAGATTACACAGGTGAAAGTACGCCTTTTACGATGAGTTAACAAACATGTAATGTTATGACGGAATGAATATTTAAATGCTACTTCACCTCTTTTCATCCTTTCATCACTGAATGCAAAAGAATAAACCATGTCGGCCTTAAAAATTCGATATCAGTATTTTTTCGACTCAGTGATTTTTAAAGTTGGTTTTCACCTTGAAAAACTGAGTAAGCCATTTTTGATCGATGAATAGCGAGGAACTACTTTAGGAAACTATGGTGAATGACTGTTTAAATTACGGTACAACGTAAATTTTTCATTGGTATTTGTTTTTATTTATTTACAATGACACAAATAATTCGCAGTGATTACGAATTCTTGGTTTGTCTATTTGGTGGGATCGCTCAGTTCCTGATAATTCCATTATAATGAATTAATACTTTGCAATTCTGCTCCAAATTCATTTTTAATTTTATGGAATTATTGTTTCTGTTTCTCCATGTTTTTTCTGGTCAGTAATTTGTGTGAGAACAACACCATGAAAACATTTTACAGAAAACTTTAAAGTTTTATTGTTGTTGCTTGTACTATCCCATCGTTGAGTGGACCGAATTGATCGGTCTCTATTGGCATGTAGGCTCCCGCGCGGATTGCCTCGGTATTGCTTGCGTTCAAATTAAACATTATTGATGGTGTTCGAGGCAATCGATCTCGAGTTCATGTCTTAGTGGGAACAACATCGCTCACTGGGAGGCAGGTACATCCAGCTGACGAGTCCTAGCTAGGAAGAAACGCGCGTCCTGGATCCCACTGCTAGCCACTATCCATCATTATTATATAAAACTTTAAATTATCATTTTGGGTGTCTGACATAGCCGTGGTTTGGCAGACTAGTGTTGATGCTGGGTGATGATTGAGGGTGAAATGAAATTCGGACCGCGGTTAGAATGAAGTGAAATAAAAATCTGGTCAGGGGTCGAACCTCGTAGGTTAGTTGGTAGAACACCGGAAACCCGATAGTCGCTGGTTTGAATCTGACCGCGATCCGAATTCTCATTCCACTTTCAATAAAAGTTTGAAGTTACTGAATAAGCAAGCTTTCCTGAGACCTTACTCACCAAAGGATAAGTCTGTCCTTACCACAGATGCTTCTCCAGTGGATAGAGGTACAGTTCTAGAACAAGATGAAAAACCCTTTATTTTTATTTCAAGACGCCCAAGTAGGAGTGAACATGGATATCCTGAAACCCAGGAAGAAGCACTAGCGGTTGTCTAGGCAATAAGGTGTCTCCACAGGTGCTTGTTCGGTACGAATTTTCATACTGTCGCTGATCAACAAGCTTTGAAATTTATTTACCATCCAGACAAATCCAAAAATAGGTCATATTCTGCTATGGTTCAGAGATGGAGTTTAGAAATGAGTACGCATGAATATATGATAAGGCACACAAACTAAAGATGTGTCTTGTGCGAAATTCCTATGGTGTTATTCATCGTTTGTGAGCTGTCTTCCTGATACTGATTGTTCATCAGCTCATCTATTACCCTTTGACAGAATGCAGCTTTTACAAGATACTCGGAATTAGTATGGAAGTATCATAAATGAAATAAAGAAGCGTTAAAACGCTCGATTCTTCGGTTTCCAATATTCCATTTGTGATAAAAACTACCTTGTAGTTAAATAATTCTAAGTTGACCATCTAATGGGATCCTAATATTCGTTGTAACGTAAGGCTGTTCGCGGCTGAAACGAAGGTTTGAAGTAGGGAAGGTCAGTTTCATTTTACTATACTTGTTGAAAACCATGAAGCAGGCCTAATACTAAAGCCACTTTTTCTGCTTAGAAAAGTAAACAGATTGTGCAGGCGTGGGTATATATTATAACCAGGAAAATACATAGATTTTATCAGTTCAAAAATTAAAACCTACCTTTGGATCTAATTTAGTTCGAAGATATTGAGGTACAGTATCGTGATTGAATAAAGATAGACGTTCTTCGGTAATCTTAGCTAAGTTTACATCTTGTTCAGGATTCAACAACATCGGAGTAAGCACTAAAGTATGTTCATTGGCGAATCGATCCGATTCCAGTACTTTACGAATTTCACTTAATTCTGATGCACATAGAGCTAATGTACTGAGATACCTTGGCCAATCACATTGATCACCCTATGTAACAGCATTAGTGGGTAGGAATGAATTAAGAGGTTGAAACACTTTAAACAAAATAAGTACACTTAAAACAGCATTTGGAGTATATTAACGTAGAAGAACTTGCAACCATGCCCACACTTCACCTAATGAAGGGCTAGCAAACAATAGATGGTATGGAAGCCGTTAGGACGACATGCGTAACACAGATCCAAGCCACCGAAGCCGGTGTTTCCAAATGACTTGACTTATTGAATGAAGGTATCCATCATGCCAAAACACACCTCAGAATTACTTGAAGTGTTCCCGCTGAATGCGGGCAATCCTACGCAGACGATGGTTGGACACACGGAGTTGTCGCACATCCTCGGAGAGACCAGGTTTCACAGGCGTAGAACAGAACTGTTCGCACCAAAGCCTTGTAAACCTGACCTTCCACGATCAGACTAACGTCACGACGGTACCAAAGGTGGCCGCGTTTGTTGTGTGCCACTCTGGTTTTTGATATGCGGCTGCAAATTTCATCACACACAACTACCCAGATACATGAAATTTTCGGCTACTTTCAACGACTCACCACCAAGAGTAAGGGCAGGCGAAGGCTCCTGCCAGTCTTGCTAACGTACTTTACACTTTGATGGTGTGAAGCACAACCATACTTACGGACGCCAATCACCTACTGATTAAGTGGGATTTCAGTAGCCTGCGTGTTATCGCACAGTGAAACCGTATCGTCCGCATATTCAGGCTCAAATAGCCATTCTCTGGGTAGATTTACATCAACTTCAGACACCTTCTTCAGAGCTGTCTCAAGAATGTCATCGATGGCAAAGTTAAAAACCGATGGAGAGATCAGACAGCCCCACATAACCCCACTGTTGGTTTGAACCAATGGAGACAGACGGTTGTATGCCCTCACTCTAACTGCGGTGTTAATATATATGGTTCTCAAGATGCTAGTAAATTCCTCAGGTACACCCCTCTAACAGTTAATCCCAGCGTACAGCTTTGTTCAACGAACTAAAGGTAACTCTAATGTCAAGAAACACAACGATCGTTGGCCCGCAGTAAGTCTAGAGGTGTTCAAACATCTAGTGAAGGGAAAACACATGATTATTGCGCCCACGATCTGAAATAAACGCATCGTTTCCTTATGCGTTTTGCAAAGTCTCCGAAGTATGACGGCAGCCATTATTTTCGACACGAACGGTAACAAACTAATACCCCGATAATTGTCACACACATTGCGTATACCGTTTTTAAAGATGGGCACAATGATGGTTTAATTCCAGAGCGATGAAACAGTATAAGTATACCTTTCTAAACAACCTAGTCAATTGCCTGACTAGAGTCGTCCCCCCACCCCTAAAAAGAGTCGGGGACAAGTTGTCTGGGCCGGGTGTCTAGCGGTGTTTCAGAACTTGAAGCTCCTTATAGACCTCCGCCTCGTTAAGTGGGTCAGTGTTAACTGACCGTGGAGCACGACACACTGAAACTGAAGATGCTGGAGCCGTGGGCCAGACAAACTGCTTTTCGAAGTGCTCAGGCCAGCATCCCGGACGTCCTTGAAGATTGTTTACCGGCGTACCATCTACCACACCGATCGTCTCACTGACAACAAGCTTTTTGCTGCTAGTGGCTTGGATGAGCTGGAACGGCTTCTGACTTCTGCCAGATGCATCTGCTGCTTCCATCTCACTTATGCGTCCTGACCACAAAGCCTCGCGGTCCTTGCGTAATCATTGGGTAATTTTTCGCGCAAGAGGCTTACGCAGACCATCGTACTCGCTATCCGCCGGGATGGTCCGACAGGTCTCAAGAAGTTGCAAGGAGCTCGTCGAAATCCAGTGTTTACTAGCGGAACGTCGTTTTAAGACACAAGCAGCTTTATTTGTCCAGGTACTTGTCAGTGTACCAGCGAAGGACACAGACAGATCAAATAGATCATCGTTGGAGAGGATTACCGCTTTCTCTTGAGTACCTGCCTGAACTTCGATAACGCGTTAAAACGGGATCGTCTGTGTCTGGGCCTTACTGGTTGCAGAAAACAGTAAAGCCTATCTATTTTAGATTGGAAGATGAGGACGGTAAGTGTTTGGGGAAGAGTTAGCTGAGCATTTACCTAGACGTGACAGCAATGCTCATCCTAAGGAAACCTGGCACGATATAAAGTCTGCTGTAGAAAAAGCGGTAAAGACAGTTGGTAATCTACACCGGAAGTTAAGTAAACGTTATTGGATTCCCGAAACCTCACTCGAACTGACTGATGTGCGAAGACCGGTCGCAACTGGTTCTGACCGCAATAAAGAGCGAAGGCAATTTAAACTTAAACTGACCAAGAGTCTCCACAGTGATCGTGACCAGTGGTGGGTGACGAAAGCGAGAGAGATGGAGAAGGCATCAGCGTTAGCGAACATCCGGCAACAATTTAGGCATATTTAGGATACCATTAGGAAGAAAACGATGGTTAGTGAAACCGTCACCGAGATGGATAGCACCCTGATTACCTCCCAGAACAGATGGCTAGAACGTTGGATAGAACACTCTGATGCACAGTTCAACTGGCCCATAGTAACCCTTCAGTTGCCCAACATCTAGCCTGGACCTGAATGTGACGCATATTTCGGTCCTCAAACTAATTCCACTCGAAGTTAAGAAGGCTGTATCGAACCTGAAACGTTGCAAGACAATAAAACCTGACACTCTGTCAACAGAAAATTTCAAGGTTGCAGGTAGGAAATTGGTAATTAAGGTGATGAAGGTACTAGGTAGGGTATGAGAATTTGAGGTAGTTTCGTCAGATTGGTGTACTTCATTGATTATCCCAGTCTATTAGTAAGGAGAGAAGTTTTCTTGTGACAACTACAGTGGAATTAGTATAGTAGCATTGCTCGCGTTTGGCGGAATCACCTTGTGAGTAGTGTTGAGGTCAGGGGAACCGTAGTAGGCAGGATAGGCAAGTCGTCTGATGAGGTTGTGGACCTTAATCAACTGAGATGGTTTGGACATGTACTGAACATGCCGAGCTACCGCATACCTCAACGGGTCATGTTAGGGAAGAGGGTTCAGGGTGGCCAAGCACAGACCTGGTACCAGTGGAAGTCTTTGATCGTTGATTTGAGCCGTGTGGGGAGATGTAGACTGCCTGGCTGGGGTCCCCGTGACGGTAAGAATCAGCGGTTGATGACTCTGGATTACGTGACTGAAAATCGGTCACAATGGGGCAGATGTATTCATTCTTTGACGTCTTCTAAAGCTTGGATATTTGCGCTAACCATTATCTTCAAATTGTTTGTTCTCTCACACAGCTTTTTCTAGTTTGATATCACTTTTTCGATCTACCAGTTCTTTGAATACTACTGTAAAATATCGTCATTTGAGCCGATGAACTTGTGTGCGAGGTTCTATGTTGGTTTCGTCTGTCTGATTGTCATTACTAAACAAGGAAGGCAGACACAGGTAGTGCTTTCAGAATTTAGTTGAGCAAACCGACGAACATGAGCATCAGTTAATGAAGTCTTTGACTGTTGGTCTGAGTCTTGTGAGGAGTTGTCAACTTTTGGTCGGGTTTCCCGTGACAACCAAAATCGGTGACTAGAGACTCTAGGCAATATTACTCAGAATCGACCTCAATGGCACAAATACATCCATACGCTATCTCAGTTATCATAGTGATTTTTTTGTTGTTACATCCCTTCTTGTTCTCTTTTATGGCTCTTTAACACTTTTGGTTACTTTCTTCCTTGCTTCTCTTTCACCGGTGCGCCTACCACCTTGACTCATCAGTATAAGGATTGGCAACTTGAACTGTTATGCAGTAATGTCAAACCAATAGTGGATACAGATAGAGGAATAATGCTGTCAGCCACCACTGGGAAAGGTTCGCGAGAGACTACTACTACTTGTTCTAGAGCAAGTTACTGGAAAATGATTACCTGTTGGTTCGATGACGCGTATATGTGCCAAGATAAACGTGGGGAAACCACAACTGGAGGAACTTAATTTACCTCGATGATCAGGATGATAAAGCTGTGTACAGTAGGAAGCGACCATCTTACTTAGCCTAAAGAGACCTAGTACAACCTTAAGCTTGCAGTTAAAGGTGGTAGAGACTTATCTGACTTTTAGAAAAGGTGAGAAGGGAACAGTGGATTCTTAGCAGATTCATCTAAATCAGTGGGTCTAACCAAAACCATTTCATCAAACTTCACGTGCAAGAGAAGTGAAATCAGTTTAAATACAAACTGATAAAGAGTCTACAATGATCATGAGCGTGGCAATGTAGAAGACAATGCCGATAGGCAATATTAGACAATTACTTAGACCTGTTGGGGAAACCAGGGGAAGTTATCGGCAATTAGTGGAACCATAACGAAGAATGGTGCGTCAGTGATTCACTTGCGGTGAAGACGATTAGAGTGATGGGCAGAACATATCGAGGAACAGTTTGACTGACCTCCAGAGACTCTTCAAGTCCTCGCTATACAGTTGTGATCTGAACGGGATACTTACATAGGGCCATCAACTCTTATTGAGGTTCGAAAAGCCGAATATACCCTGAAACGAGGACAGGAGATGAAACACATACGATAATTTATTAAACTTGCTGGTACTAGTTGGGGTAAAAGTAGGTAGATATACACATTAGTCAGCGGACCATACTTAATGTGCGAAGCATAGGTATAATATCTGGCGGAATTGGAATCCGTGACCCGTTGGTTTAATGTCGAGTGTCTGAACCAGTAATTCGTAACTCAACGATTGGCTGGGGGTATCAGAACAAGATGTAGTGCCTTAAAAATGGCCACAATCAATGATTCTCCTTGACTGAGAAATCATTTTAGGACAAACAGAGGGACTAGCTAGTTAATTATGGCTAAGTGAAAAATCAATTGGCTGGAAAAATTGGTAACATTTCTACTGAACGTTTATTCGCAAAATTTAGAATTTTTAAAGTTAGACAAAGAAAGAAAAGGAGATACCAAAGATAAAACTGAATGCTCAAACTGATGTAGTGTTTAGGGAGCAAACAGGCTAATGTTCTACAATCAGACTTACTTGAGTTTCCAACTTAATCACCAAATCTTGGATTTTTTGCTTAAGTTTATGAATAGCTGTGTACAGTGTATTGATATTCTCTAACTGACGCTTTCCAGCAGCTTGCATTTGTAAATTATTCAGTTGCCATATACTGCAGTTTTTTGGAATCCAAAGAAAAATGAAAGCGGAAGCAGTTTGCTACAATTTCTTCAGTATTTTGACTCTAAGGGGGGAAATGATGAAGTTGACGTGAAAAAATCTTTGAAAGAAAAGGTGTAGTACTAATTAGAATCCTGAAGTATCTTGTCTACCAGTCAGCTGTTCACTTGAACATCAAAATAAACAAAATAATGCATATACAAGATCTGCACTTGAAAATAATGAAATTGTGTTTAGTTAAATGTAAACCATGCTGGAATAACCAGCTTAACTGCTTCGTCCACAACTTTGATGACTTTCGGCTCACTATGATTGGTTGATTATTTCCGAAGCCCAACTGAGTTAATATCAAACGAATGAACTGCTGACCAACTGGTTGTGAGTATATTTCCGTTTTTAATTAAACAAACGGGTAATTACGTGCAGATAATTTTGATTTAACCCTCAGGTAACACACAGTAAGTTAAGGATAATGTGAAGAAAAACAGGTAGCCCGTGAACTCGTATCAGTGGCTGTAAGACTGTACTATATCTATTTTGAGAAACGTAAAGCTTGAAATGCATTAAGTAACACCAGTAAGAGCTGTCATTAATAACCAAACCTGCTTATAAGAATAGAAAAGAATAGAAAACGGGGTAAAAGTGCAGTTAATCAAATTGCCATACTTTGCAATATGACACAGCAGAAAGGAACAGAAACAAAATAATACTAATATGAGGATATGACAAGAGGAAAAAGATTAGTGCTAGCGAAATGTTGAAAGTAAATACATTTGCACCATTGTGATAAGCTTGAATCATGTTACTGATTCTTTTACTATTGCTTACTCATATAGTTCACAGATTCCTTACACTGTACACTACATCAGTTACAGAACTTATAGGTTTTTTGCAATTTCTCGGTTTGAACACCACCTTTTTGTGAAGCAACGCTGAAGATGACATTCAGACTGATGTCGAAAGTTAACGAGGAAAAGCTGAGCTTAAAGTGAGACAAAACTAATCAAAGTGTCCCGCCTACTGTTTCAGCGACCAATTCAGAGACGTTTTCAGGGATCCATCCTTTTTAGCAATGGTATCACTAACAGTTATCTTCTTTCCAGTATTCCTAATAAGTTTGAACAATTCCTAAGCATTACCCAATGTTAATGCCTTTCTCATCTTTTTTGCTTTTACTACGCACCACTGCTCGCGATTACTAAGAAGAATCTTAGCCACTTTAGGTTTAAGCTGCTTTCGCAGTTTATCATAGTCAGGGGCAGCTGCAATGAATCTTCTCGCATCAAACAGTTAGGATGAGGCCGCGAAGATCCACTGGCGTTTGCTAACTCTTGAATATATGAGGCCCGCTATCTTTACCTCTGTCATACAGCAGACTGGATATCATGTCAGGCTTCATCAAGATCATTTCTGCGATACTGGGATAAATGCTTCGATTTCCCCTCCCCAAATACGTACTTGAATCTTTACTCTTCTAGTCATGCGCAAAGAGGCTTCACTGCTGTTTCCTGTGACCAGTAAGGAACAGACATAAACGAGCGCGTACTAGTGGGTGATCGGAACCCAAACACGTACTCAAGAAAGAGGCAATCCTCCACTGATCCTTTCTAGTGATAGCTTATAGCAATATGATCTGTGTCCATAGTTGATTTAATGTCAGTGGACTCCATGTGAGACAGTGTCTCCTTATGCTTGAAGTTAGCGCTGGCCAGGAACAGGTGATTCTCATAATAGGATCGCAAGAGGCGATCACCATCGTCGGCTCTTTGGCATGGGATACCGCAGGCGTCTGAAGATGCTTTTTCGATTCGCTCAGCTTTCCTACTTGAGCGTTAAATTCCCCTGTTAAGAAGACTGAACGCCTTGCTTTCTGCAGAAAAATTAAGTTTTTGATAGAATTCATCGTTTGCATCATCCAAACTGCAGTGAGTGAGCACGCAGTCAGAGATTATGAATAGACATCGACTGGTTTCACAATCCATCTTAGTTTTTAAAGACCCACGGGCAACTGTTGACTAGTATCCAGTCGAAAAACGAACTTTCTGTTCTACAGTCCAATGCTACGCATACACCCGCAAATCTACGAGAGCCATCGAGAGCGAATTTTGAGAATTCACCATACTGGCCTGATAACGTCAAGTGGGTAAACATGTGGACATCCGCGACTCGAGACTCTAGAGTTCTGACAAAGCATTCCTATTGTCCAAGTTGACACAGGGTTCAGTTATTGAAAGCTCTAGTGTGAAATCGACAGCAGAGTTTTGGGACTAGGAATGATGTTTCGACAGCTTGGATTGCCAGCAGCAGATGCATGATGAGAGGTTGAGGAAGTTGTTAAAGGCTTAGTGATGCTATCAAGGGGCTGAAACAAAGTAGGAGACGAAAGTTAGTGGGGTAGGTTATGGTTCATTGAGTTTTTAGACTGCTGGAAGCGTATGAGCGGTCTTTACCAAAATGCAATCTGGCATTGGTTAGCTTGAATGGGTATCACAAAAATGACCATAAAAATAAACTACTTAGCTCTCTCGAAAACCACGTGCACGTTTATACACTGGTCAATGAACCGCACCTAGTGTGTGAGGGCTACTGATACAATCTGGCTGTCCAAACTTGGTCAGTTGGTGTAGAGTATGAATCAGCGACCCACTGGTTTAAAGTCAACCGTCTAGATAAATGGGCCACAGCTCCACAATGACTACATAGTATAACTGAGTTTCGCATAGAGGATACACTTAATTGTTTGAAGAAGAAAAGACGAACTATGTTTATTCAGCTAAAGGTTGGAATTTCAAATTGACTGAGGCGCGGAGAGAGCGGGTTACATTTTTACTTATTTGACAGTTCTTTTTCAATGCTAAGGTGGCTTTTCCAAGTGCTGCTGAACCATGCATGCCGTCTTTTAGTAACGACAAGTTTCCGCAAAATGAACAGTACTTCCAAATATATAGACAGCAGGCAAGTGTGTGATGCTAAGTTTGTTGGTTATGTTTTTATCCTTCATCGTGGAGAATTCTGGATTTCTTTTCAAGTAGGTTTGTTAAAATCAGATGATCAGAAATCCTGGAATTGAAATGCACATAGCAACCACGTGCGCTTTCGCGCAGCAGGCAATGAACCACACTTGTGTAATGACTGATGATACTACCTGGCTGCACAAACCATTGTAGATAAGTGTTTAGGCTCATGAAAGTCAAATACTTAGCAAAATGAGCCACAAATGGAAGTACAGTGATGGCTGTGAGGCATTTTGGACTAATAATCCGTTTAGCCCTAGTCCTGCAGTGAGAACAAGTACCCCCATATGTAGTTCTGTTAGTACTCAAGTAAGTTTTCTTTTACAGATCATCTCTGACAGAAAAAAGCAGAGATTCTTTGTAAGCGCTATAATTTGCACTTAATTATTATCTACTACTGAATCTCCCGAGACCATGAACAACAGCAACAGTACCAAGGGAGAATCGCTAATTATCAGTAAATTCCACAACATGTAGAATATGTTTGTCACCGATTCCTTTCGGAATATGTAACTGGTCGAAAGACGTTCAGTAGACTAGGAAAATATCAACCAACCAGAAGAGCGTTCGCAGTGTGATAGCTATGGATAGGCAATGTGGTAATGCAAACTGAATCAGAGGTGACGCCAAAAGAATTCACATGGGAATTCTTAAGTTTGAAGACTTAACTTTCTCAGTACTTCCGAATTTATGAGGACATCGGTCAAGATGTTAAAGTTAGAGAGGTAAACTATACAAATGCTGTTGGTTTACGATCGGACTACTTAGTTACCTTGAGTTGCGACAAGGAACAAGGAGGGCTTTTAATTCATGCTGAGCCAATGAAGAAACAAGCTCATCTACTGATTACGGAATCCCATCTCAAAAGCACCAATCAAGTTTCAAGAAACTTAACAGTGCCAGTAAAAATGACCTATGAAGAATAGCCGAGTTAACATGAAGCCATGCTTTAACAAAATGAGGTATGATAATAGCGGTCGCTATCGATGACAGAAATCGTTCATGGTTAGTTTCTGCTCGTGACAACTCTCAACAAATCAGATTGCTGTCAGTCAATTGGTAATCAGCACTATGTTGACAATAGACTATACGACATAAGGCAGTAAAACCCAGTGAAACTAGGGAACAAGGATGAGATGTAATAAAAACCCCTGACTTAACAACTGCATGTGCACACGTGTGCAGTCTTCTTGTACAAGACTTTCTAAAGCAAATACTTTTTACGCTGCGAAACCTCCAATTTTATCTTACATAAAGTGTGTAAATATCATCACATAAAGTTTAAGTATAGGTGTAAACAAGGTATTCAACATGTGTATTTTGGCAACGAAACATCAAGGTTACAGCCTAAATGGGTCTAATTAAGGTTTATCGTACAACTGGGCTTGAACCAAATTTAGTTTATCGTAGGGATAAACTTGGTTCAACACTGGTTTATGTGACGGTTTACGCTGAGTCAAAGCAGGAGTCCTATCGAGTTTACCACAAGTAAAGAGTAACCATGGGTTGATATTGCAAAGCTACTTGGTGACCCTAGGTGTTAACGACAAGGAAAACACTTCTATTCACCGGATTATTAGAGGTAATTTAGACCAGATTACATACCAAAACTACTGAAGCTCAACTGCAACAACATAAAAACTGGGGTTTGACAAGTAACGCAGGACTGTAGTTTTGCGCTGCAATTCTGTTTATAGAGTACATTTACAATTTTATCTGTAGGTTTAGAAAATGAAAACCAAGGCTTTCTGGTTAATTATGCTTGCTTTTTGTAAGCTTCTGGTTTTTTGTAGCTTGTTCAGGTTTCTGTCTTGTATCTTTTCACAGTTTCCAGCGGAGGGGGCAGAGAAAAACCATGATAATAACTGTACTTTCTGATCCCTTCTAATGCGACCAGAAGGGAGCCTTCCAGTCGTTTATGTGCGGCACAGTTGCGTTCTGCACACACTTTACATCCCCAGTCTTGACAGACCGGCTTAGCTGCCGGCGCACAACACACCTAACGCCACTTAAGTCTGTAGCGTCATACACTTCCCCAAAATCAATAGCCTAGGGTTTGACGACTTTCGACATAGATGCTGACCTTGATAGTTTAACTGGACTCGCTAAGCTGGAGGCACCCGGTCAAGCATCCTCGCCATTTGGCACGCTGTCGTGTTACGTTGCATTGCTCGTATTCGACTCTCTAGCCAGTTAGTTGGAACGCATCGGTATTTTGGCATAACCATCCAAATATACTATTCCATCCGACTACGCTATCGTGTTCTTCCTTGGTCTCGTATTCGTGGGTATATAACAAGTTCGAATAATTAGTGATTGGTCTTTGCGTCTGTCAAGTTCGCACCTAAATTGGTGAGCCCGACGTGATCACATATCCCGACCAATAACAAGTATTGAATTGGTGAGCCTGTTCCATTTTATATTTCTATATTGTTTTCATTTCGATAACATTTATATATCCATTTACTACACTTTCTCATGTCCGACCACACTCCCAAGCTTATTCGTATTAAGCCGACTCGAACACGATCCAACTCGTGCCATATTGGCCAGACAATGCAGAAACATGGTTTCTGTATGCCGAGGCCGATTTTCGAGAACAGGGTGTCTCAGATCCTCATTCTCGATTTCTTGCTGTCATACGTTCACTACCGCGAGAATTAAACAGGTATGTTACAGCAAACATGTTTAATCCTGAAGTAAGTGACCCTTATGCACTTCTAAAGGCCGCACTCTTGAAGAAAAGCGATCTCACAGATCGCCAACGTCTAGACGAATTGCTTCGTAACATCGAGCTAGGCAGCCACTCAGCTACTGAAGTCCTCGCACGCATGCGAGAAGTAATCGGTGCACGAACATTTGACGATGGTTTCTTCCGAGAACTATTTCTCTCGAAACTACCACAACCGGTGCAAACCGTGTTGGTGACACTCCAGTCAGTCCCACTCGACGACCTGGCAGCTCAGCAGATAAAATACTGGAGATATCCAGCAGACCCGTCTCCAACGTATATTCTATCTGCGACAAAACAGAGCGCCAGGATTCGGAGGTGACCAAGTTGTGCAACTCTGTGAAACGGTTGCTACGATCTCGAAGTCCTAGATCACGTAGCACTTCACGAAACGCACCTTGGCGCATCGCAGCAAGTCGCGTGGTGTACCTAAAACGAAACCCAACAGGGTGGAAAACCCTGAATGGTGCTGGTTTCATAACACTTACGGGGATGAAGCCAGAAAATGTCGTAAACCATGCCGTTTTAAGAAGGACACAAACTCGGGAAACGGTCACGCCGGCACGTGCTCACGGCAACCGTAGCCGGCGGAAAAAGCCGTTTGCTCTACGTCACCGATATTAAAACGAAAGTCCGCTACCTCGTCGACACCGGCGCAGAAGTTAGCGTTCTTCCAGCATCATGACCCATCCTTCAATCTTCAAGCAGCCAACGGCAAGGCAATCGCGACATTCGGGAGACGGTATGCCTACCTCAACTTAGGTTTACGCAAACCTATCCACTGGATTTTCCTCCTGGCAGACGTCTCTATGCCCATCATTGGCATAGATTTGCTAAACCATTACGATCTACTCGTAGATGCTCGCCGTCGACGACTGATAGATAACAACACAAAGTTATCTATTGGCGGCACCACCTATGTAGGTCCGAGTTTAGCCATCGTTAGGACTAAACAATCAGGCGACGCGTCCTACCAGGCAGTTCTGGAGAAATATCCAGAGTTAACAACCGAAACACACTCTTCCGTGCATAACCAGCAATGTTATGCATCACGTCACAACCACAGGTCCACCTGTGGCATCCAAAGCGCGCCGTTTAGCCCCCGATAAGCTCAAAACGGCGAAAAATGAATTCGACCACATGCTCGAACTGGGCATTATCAGACCGTCAAACAGTCCTTGGGCATCGCCATTGCACATGGTTCCCAAAAAGGATAGCAACGACTGGCGTCCGACCGGTGATTACCGAAGGCTTAACGCCAAAACAACTCCGGACTGCTACCCTATACCTCACGTTTACGATTTGACTGCAACCTTATGCGGAATGAACATTTTCTCCAAAATCGACTTGGTCAAAGCGTACAACCAGATACCTATGGCAGCAGAAGATATCGCGAAAACAGCCATTATTACTCCTTTTGGCCTGTTTGAATTCCTGCGCATGCCATTTGGTCTTCGGAATGCAGCACAAACATTCCAACGCTTTATGGACGATGTCTTCCGTGGTTTGAATTTTGTTCATGTCTACATCGATGACTGTCTAATTGCGAGTCCAGATAAGGAAACTCACCTTAAACATTTGGACCTCGCATTCGAAAGACTTAAAAAACATGGCATCACAGTCAACTTACAGAAGTGTGAAATAGGAGTTGAATCACTCAGCTTCCTTGGGCATACCATTGACAACAAAGGTATACGCCCATTGAGAGATAAAGTGGCGGCTATCACAAACTATCCAGAGCCGACCACTGTGAAACATCTCCGCACTTTCAATGGCCTGGTAAGTTATTACCGAAGGTTTATCCCTAACTGTGCCTCTGTCATGAGACCACTCACAGATCTACTTCGAGGAACTGCGAAGTTCGTGTCTCTGGACAACGCGGCTAGACTTGCTTTCTCTAAAGTCAAGGAAGCCATTTCGAACGCAACCATGCTTATGCATCATGACCCCAATGCTCCTTTGAGTATTGCTGTTGATGCATCTGATTCAGCAATTGGAGCAGTTTTGCAACAGTTGACTGACAACCAGTGGCAACCGTTAGCCTTTTTCTCGAGGCGGCTGCAAGACGCGGAAACAAGATACAGTACATTTGGTAGGGAACTCCTAGCCATGTACTGTTCTGTACGCCATTTTCGACATTCTGTGGAAGGTCGTGATTTCATTATTTTCACAGACCACAAACCGTTAACGTTTTCCCTCAGCTCGGCGTCTGACAAATACTCCCCTCGTGAGTCGCGACAGCTGGATTACATTTCCCAGTTCACGTCAGACATCCGCCACATTTCTGGAGCAAACAACTCCGCAGCCGACGCACTATCTCGAATAGCTTCGATAAACTATATCGAGGGTATTGATCTCGTTGAACTAGCTCGGCGTCAAAAGGAAGACCTTGAGCTGCATCATGAGTTGTCGTCCACAACTCTCAAACTGCGACTTTGTCCTGTTGGATCAGACAAGGATACAATTTTGTGCGATGTCTCTGCTAGTCAACCACGCCCAATAGTTCCGAAGAGTTGTCGACGCAACGTCTTCAATACGTTGCACAAACTCTCTCATCCAGGTGTACGAGCCACCATTAGGCTTATCGCACAACGTTTCTGCTGGCCTGGGATGAACAAAGACGTTAAGGAGTGGGCCCAGTCGTGCTTAGCTTGTCAAAAGTGTAAAGTCACGCGACACACGAAAAGCCCTTTAGGCTCATTTCTAGCCCCAGACATGCGTTTCGACCACGTCCATATAGATATTGTAGGACCCCTACCAGAATCTAATGGATGTACCTACCTTTTCACTGTGTTGATCGTTTCACACGATGGCCGGAAGCAGTACCCATTAAAGATATTACTGCCGAAACAGTTGCTCGTGTTTTCGTCGAAAGATGGATCGCGAACTTCGGATGTCCATCTTACGTCACAACCGACCGTGGGCGCCAATTTGAGTGTGGATTATTTCACGCTCTAACGGCACTTTTAGGTTGCACTCGGTTCCGAACGACAGCCTACCATCCACAAGCAAATGGCATGGTAGAGCGTTTCCATCGACAGCTGAAAGCTTCCCTTTCAGCTACAAACATACCTCAGTGGACCGAGGCTCTGCCTCTAGTCCTACTAGGTATTCGTAACGCGTTGAAAGTTGATGCTGGATGCACTCCTGCAGAACTCGTCTATGGGACCACTCTTCGCCTACCAGGTGAGTTTGTTTCCCCTTCAACTTTCAAACATGTTTCCGACAGGGCATCTTACGTGACTAGGCTTACAAACGCAATGCGTTCAGTTAGGCCTTCTCCGATTAGACCTCAAACGAATGATGTCTTCGTTCACCCCAGTTTACAGAAGACATCACACGTGTTTGTTCGCCACGATGCCGTTCGTCGACCACTTGAACCACCCTACGACGGGCCATTCAAAGTGATTAAGCGACACGAGAAATTCTACATAGTCGAGAGAGACGGACGTGAAGATACTGTCAGTATCGACCGTTTGAAACCAGCTTATTTCGAAGGCAACCCCATTATAAGCGATGTTTCGGCTAGCTACAGCCGACTGACGGATAGCTCAATCACCGAAATTCTTGACGATGTGCCTGGTAATGCACAGCTGCAACAACCATCGGTGCAACAGGAAACACGATCAGGTCAAACCGTCATGTTTCCGGAGTATTTGAGGTCGTAATTAAATTAGCGGTCTGAAATAAAATGTGCCAACCATTTTCTTTTTACTGACAAATTTTTTTCCGAGGCACTATTTTTCTTATTTACCGGCAATGCGCAAATCCTAGTACATTTTGTCTTTTTATGTCAATTTTTTTATTACCGTGTAATGAAACCTATTTTAAAAAACGGTGAAAATAAGCGCAAACTTTATTTTCCATGCATTTGTAGATACATAATTCCCATTTTTTCGAAGCGTTCTCATGGTATTAAAGACTTTCATTTATATTCCAGGTGCAACGAGCACTGGACGGAAGGTAAAAAAAATGAGGATTACGATCAACGTACAATTCAATCCACTGTACTTAATTTTTAATTGCCACGACACCCTAGAATAAGGTTCAGACAACCAGGGGCCAGCTCACGCAGTGAGCCCATCGGAAGAGTTTTACCGGTGGAGAA